CATCCAGGCCTACCTCAACAATTGTGGTAAACTCGGACTCCTTTAGTGCTTTGAAAGCAATCAAAAAAATTTAATTCTCCTCATCCCATAGTTCTTCATATACAGTTTTGGTTGTGCAATATTTCTTTGTTGCCATGGGCCACAAAGAAGTGACCCGTGGCCTGGTAGGCAAAGCTCTCGCTTCACACGCTGAGGGTTCGTGGTTTAATTCCCGGCAAGGGTGGAAACATTTTGCGTGTTTCCTTACACTTCTTGTCCCTGCTCACTCATCAGTAAAATGGGTACCTGGGTGTTAGTCGACTGGTGTGGGTCGCATCCTGGGACATTTGACCTAATTTGCCCGAAATGCTCTGCATAACAAGGGGCTTTTTATATAGTAATATGTCACTGATGTCAGCTAGGACTGTGTGTTTTGTACACATACTTGTAGAAATGGAGATCTTCTTTCTTCTGCTTCCTCCTCTTATTATTATTATTATTAAATCGCTTTCAACTGAGTTCCTGGTCATACTGATATTCAGGGCAATGAGCAGGTAGACTCTGCTGCACGATCAGGAGTACATGACCTTCCAGTTTCATGTAGAGGTATTCTATTCTCAGACTTTTTTGCTGTAATCTCTAGCCACCTTCGCAACCATTGGCAATAACTTTAGTATGAGTCGATTCATGGCAAAGTACGTTCTATTAAACTGTGTTCAGGATTCTGGTTTTATTATCGATGTCATGGTTGGGAGACTACAATTTCCCGTCATCGCATCGGGCAAACACGTCTCATTCATGGGTATCTCATGGGGAGGCGCCCAATTCCACTCTGTGCGAATTGTCAGGTTTCAATTACAGTTTGCCTTATTCTATTGAACCGCCGTATCAGTGAGTATGCAGAATTTACCGACGTCATCACCGTTCTAACACCTTTACTGTATCTTCCCTCCTTGCTGACAGACCCACCTTTGACACAGACTAGACTCCCTCTTTGACTATACTTCAGCACTCACCACCCTTACAAACTCTCCCTACGTTATACTCTCCACCCTCGCTAGTCTCAGTTCAAGCATATTAAACCGTTAGCATACTCCCCTGCAGCACATACCCATATGTGTTTAGTGCTTAATTTTGATTATAATAATAATCATATGGCCAGAGAAATTCCCATAGACAATATTGGATTAGCTAGTGACAATTGCTCTACCATATGGGATCAAACAGTGGTTTCCAGGCATTTCTTAAAAACAATTTTCCATATATCTTTGTCACTCGCTTGCTTTGTGCTCCAGTCATGCCAGCAACCATCTGCCCTCGTGTTTAGAACAATTTCTGAAAGATATACACTGCTGTTTTTCATGTAGTATCAGTAATCATGAATTACAGTTGATCCAGTAAATAGCTCAAACCCAATGTCACAGGACTGCCAAGCTGTCACAAACTACATGGCTCTGGAGGTAAAGTACTATCAAGAATATCAGAGCAGTGGGAAGCTTTACAACTGGGTTTTCAAAGCGAGGTTATGTCCTGGAATTTGTATTGATAAAGCCACTGGGTAGTGAAACGTCTACAGTAAAGATACCCAGATGTTGCACATGTGTCTTAATTTCATTTTGTCGGTATTATATACCATTCTTGTACAACTTGTCAGACACTCCAACATCATGGAATCTTGAATCGTAGGACATGTACATAACCTTCACGACTAGGACAACTACTACTACAACTAACCCATCTCTTTGGGTAGGACCTGCTTCCACTGGGGAATCCCGCCTACCAGTGACTGTGCCCTCATCTGCTACACCCATTTCCACCTGACGTTAGTATATAAGCATCAGGCGCCTTGCTTCTGCTTCAGAATCTCCACGACTACGGTACTCTTCGCACCTACTCCAAGGTTGAGGGACTGATTACCTCATCTTCTGTACATAGTTCTACTGTCTTCAAGTTATGTCCTGGAATTTGTATTGATAAAGCCACTGGATGGCGAAACGTCTACAATAAAGATACCCAGATATTGCGCATGTGTCTTAATTTCATCAAAGCAAGGCTAGTACGGGACGAACCAATTTTCAAAGCGAGGCTAGTTTGGGACGAACAAAATTGATAGTGCTGTCCAAGGGATGGGCCAGGAGTAGTCAAGAAGGTTATGAAGATGTCCTCCGAACCAAGATTCCATGATGTTGCTGTGTCTGACAAGTTGTAATACCTACAAGATGAATAATTAGATACATGTGCAACATCTGGGTATCTTCATTTGTAGACTTTACACCATCCAGTGGCTTTACCAATACAAATTTAATGATAGAATGGGAAGACTATGGAACTATATACGAAAGAGGAGGTAATCTGTCAGTAATCAGCCTTGTCAGTATTGTATACTATTCATGTACAACTTGCCCGACGCAACATCATGAAATTTTGGTTCAGAGGACATCTGTTACGACTTTGATGTCGTAAGTTAAATAAAATGGTCCTGGCTGCTCACGCTGCTGTCTAGGGGTTATAAAATTACACTGAAATATACAGCAAACCTTGGGCCAGCATGTACTCGTATATTAAACAATATTAATTATTATTAGGATGGACAAAAACTTGCCTATATAAAAAATATATCTACATTAATAGTAACTTATATACAACTTATAACTACTACATAAAACCACCACATTCCAGTTCACATTAACTCACTAGCACACTGCTACTGAGTTAAAATAAATCATCAGGGAGGCACCATGACACACTCCGTCTTCACTTCAGTCTGGTAGACTAATTACCAGCAGGCAAAACACCATACAGTACTATCGCATAAACAGGCCTCTGCATACTAGGACCTCACAAATAAACATGAGAGCACTTAAACACAAACACCTATAGTATATACTGAAAAAAATTACCAAAATTAGCTACTCAAACTACCGCCCAAACATGATGACTTTACCTCCGTCACCACCCGACTCATACTGAACTAAACACACCTCTCATCTGCTACTGTCCTGGCCACTGCCTGACTGACAGGAATAAAATGCGTTCGCTTTTAGGGAATAATACACGTCCACTTTCAGTATACTACTGAGTGTGGTTTAGAAAGACACGTAAGCAAACACTAACATATTTATTAGAAAACGTTTCGGTCCTGGGACCTTGATCACTTCTAACATACAGAGGTAGAAAGACATTATATATATAGGCGGAGAGTGAGATGTAAGGTACGCCTGTGTCCTCCACAAAGACTCCACGGGGCATTTGATGAACTGGAACGAGGCACAACTCGTTCTCACCGAACCAGACCTCAGACGCCGACGGTGCCTAGAAGCCTCGCTAATCGCCGTCACCGACACTATAGAACGCAACACTGGAAACTACAAAATTTCAAAAACATTGGCATACATGATACTTCAGTAGCACCAACCCAACAACACAGGAGTCACATGATTTCATCGTCTACCCGCCCTCATCATAGGCAGAGGTTGTTTTGATAAGGACCTGCCTCGCATGGGCCAGTAGGCCTTCTACAGTGTTCCTCTATTCCTATGTTCTTATGACATTCCTCAGGTCACGTGCATCACATCTCACTCTCCGCCTATATATATAATGTCTTTCTACCTCTGTATGTTAGAAGTGATCAAGGTCCCAGGACCGAAACGTTTTCTAATAAATATGTTAGTGTTTGCTTACGTGTCTTTCTAAACCAACTTGTCGGTATTTATTACCAAGGTTTATACCACTACTGAGTGTATACTATGGAGCGTTATTTTATATAAATATTTTTGTACAGTACTCCATAACATCTACATTACATTCTTGCCTGCTCCTGGCCCGTCCCTTGGGTATGACCTACTTCCACTGGGGAATCCCGCCTACCAGTGACAATACCTTCGTCTAGTGCACCTTCCCCACCTGACGCCAGTATATAAACACCGACACTCATGCACCTTATATACAAGAAAATACGGTACTTATTTAATTAGAACTTTAAACATATTCGAATAATCAAGACAACATAACATTCTTACTGTTTTCCCCTGACATATCATATGTACTGATAACATCATAAGAGTAATTGTCAGCGTATTGTATACTGGACTATTAGCCATATTTAGAGCACAATTTTTTTCATGAAATAACGATAACCTAACCAACTAAAGATTAATCTAAGCTGACCTAAATAATATGGAGAAATTCTAAGTAAAATATAAATAAAATTTAACTGTCCAATTATTATAAGTACATACTCGACTTGCATCTAGAAATACAGCAACTATGCTGTGTTTCATGCATGTTAAACTTGCTAATTTTAAGAGTACTAATTATGACACGAAATCGTATTGACACGATTTCAAATCATACCACGGTCGGGGCCTGAACTCATAGCAAGCGAGTCGTGAAACTCCAGGCCAGTGCGTAAGCCAATGGGCCAGCTAACTACAGTAAGATTCATCCAACTAGGTATATTTATACACCATAGAGAGGTTAGCACAGGCATCACTGTGACCACAAATGCAAGTTTTTACAGATGAATCTCCCACCAGCGTGGCCGTGACGAACTCTAGCTCTAGTCCCCTCAATGCCGTCGTCATGACTCACGAAATCGTAATGACACGATCTTATTGTAGCCAGCTGGCACAGTGGGTTAGGCGCTGACCTAGAGTTTTGCAACTCATCTGCCACAAGTTCAGTTCCCGCCAGTGGTATGTTTTTTTTTCTTTTTGAGTACTAACTTGCAAGTTTCAGGACAGGAGGTACTCTCAGTTGGTACTGTATTGCAATCTAAGATTGTAAGCTGAAGGTTATGTATATGATTCAAATTTTTGAAACCTACGGTACACTAGACGCCAAAAACAACACAATACCCAATGATTACATAAAAGCGTATGCATAGACATTACATAATAAATATGCATGTACACTATTTATATTTGATCTCTACATAACTTAAATACATACAGTTGTAATGCCCACCCTTAAATCTTAGCCTACATTCTTGCATTATGTACATGCATAAAGAAAGGTCCTACCTACGAAGACTTGGCTCGTTGATATATGGTGGTGGGTAGGAGTAACCAGTGAGGTGAAGGAAGCCGTCATCCTCGTAGTACTTGAGGACCTTCTCCAAGTTAGGATGAACGTCAGTAACGTAGAGGAACACTTTACCAATGCCCTCCGCCCTCAGGATCTCCAGCCACTCCACCATTCTCTTGGAGAAGTCTTCGTGGTAATAGTAGAGAGCTGGACCACACACAGCTGGTACCCACCCCTTCACTGCTCTGTGGAAGATACACCTGGTTACAGCTGGCACCCACTGTTTCACTATTCTGCTCTTGCAGATGTTTGCCACACAGGCGGTGCAACCCCCTTCCCCCGCCCATGAAAAGGGGCACCTTTAGTACACTGAGAGAAACAAATAAGTACCAGGGACCCAAGGCTGTTCACCAGCCTGCTATAACACATGAGGCCTGGTCACAGACCGGGCCGCAGGAGCGCTGACCTCCGGAACTCTCTCCAGGTAAACTTCAGGTCTCTCCAGATCCCTGGCTGTCTTCAAGAGTTGGAGCTGGACAGGCACCTCAGGTCAGTACCTGACCAGCCGGGCTGTGGTTCGAACGTCGGTTGGCTTGCGGCCATCAGATCCTGATCCACTATGAGGCCTGGTCATGGACCAGGAGTCTACCTGGCGGGAGTCCTGGGGGCGTTCACCCCATAAACTCCAGCCAGGTAGACTCCAGGACGTGTGTGCTAAGGTCGTCAGAGGTGGTTGCAACCATGGAGTATCCATTATAGGAGGTCAAAATCTCAGTAGACATTCAAATTATATTAGAAAAAGAGAAAAAGAAATGAAAAGGAAAAAAAAAGTTAAAACTAGGCGGAAAACATAATCTGGAACAGAAGAAGATTAAAAACCATCACCAAATCCAAACACAGATGCCATCGTAAATGAAAGTGCTAATTTCCATAGAAACTACCCTCAGTCTTACGTGGAACACACCCACCTGGATGGCACCTTCAGAGTTAGCAGAGAAATGCGTAGAAAAACTGTCCTGTCAAACCTAGAGCATCAATGATACTGGAATTCAGAAAAAAATGGTTGCAGGTAAACCAGGAATAATGCTGTATATTAATAAGTAACCTCTCCTAGATCTGAAAGCAACCTCCAGAAACACTTTCGCCATCAAATGTATCATTAGACTGTTTAATTCTCTTCGTGTGGTGTAGCGTCCCACACTGGACTACAATAAGTGAGCACACTAAGAGGAACCCAAAAGCTGGTCATTTCTTGCTTTTTCAAAACTAAATTTTGTTAACAGTAGAAATATTTATCCTTTTGAAACGGAATGAGACTCGAGGAGCGGGGACGAGGGAAAAAATGTTTACACAGGAAGGGAATAAACACTGAAGAAATATTAACAAATCAGCAGTATAAATAATTTGTGTACAGTGTTTATAGCTGTGAACAGTTGTTACCCGAGGTGTGACGAGAGTAAACACAGCAGAGTACTCTGCATTTCATTATTCCTACAACCATAACAGTGGCGACGAGGATGGGATCATCAGAGACAAGAATAGTGGGTCAATGTGGCCTGAAGTAGTGGGGATACTAGCTGCCCAGGATGTTGCAGCAGAGCAGTGATTATTGTAAGACTACAGCAGCAGCAAGAAGTGGTTAACATGGCAGCGGCGTCACGGGGAAGGTTGGAGCCTTTCGACCCACTAAGATTTCTTTGTAGCTCTGGCTAAGTTTGTTAGAAGCTAGTTTTGCTCATTTGGAAATTGAAGAGCAAGATAAGAGGAACTTCTTGCTAGTGTCCTTGGGATCAGAAATTTACAGTGTTTTAGGTAATGTGTGTGCGCGCGCCAGATGTGCCACACATGAGTTATGGTGACTTGGTAGCTGCACTGAAAACTTATTATGCAGTGAAACCAGACTACCACCGCAGGTTGTTGGGATATCGGCAGAGGAAGGAAAGACATGATGAGTCCTTGCATGAATTGTATATGGATTTAAAAGCGTTGGCAGTGAATTGTAACTTTGGAGGCCAGTTTGACCCCAGAGTTGGTGCATTAAGTTTATTTCCCTAACTTAGTTATGGAAAATTTGGATTTGTGAAGTATGCAATATGCAAAAGCTTTTTGAACTTGGTACAGGCATTTGTTAGCGAAAAGAACACTGTTCCTGAGGTACAAGTAATTAGTGCTGTCAAATATAAACACTGTGCGTTCAAGCATAATAATAGTTCCTGTAGGTTTAAAGATTTTTCCTGTAATGAAGGGATCGTGGTCAGTGGCTGGACAGCAGGGGACGACGAAGTTGACGATCAAGAAGACGAATGGAAAGCCAGAAACGATGAAGAAGAAAGAGACTGCTGTGGAAACTCCTGTGGAAACCTCCAACGCATTCTCGGTGCTACCCGACGAATGTGAGTCGACTACTGGGATCGTCACGACGAACGACAACAAGGAAGGTAAGAATATTGTTGTTGTTGGGGATAGCCAGGTTAGATACATGGATAGGGCATTCTGCTTGAAGGACAGGAGTAGGAGACAAAGGGTATGCTTTCCTGGGGCTGGGATGGAGGACATTGTTAGCCGGCTTGACAACATCATGAACGGTAATGGGATCAATCCTATTATTTGCCTCAGTGTTGGAGGCAATGATGTAGGCAAGCGTAAGAAGTGAGGATTTAGTTAGAAAGTTCAGGACAGCTATAGACATAATTAGGAAGAAGGGGGGGCGCCCTGTTATATGTGGCATTTTGCCAAGAAGAGGTGTTGGTAATGAATGGTTGTCCAGAGCAATTGGTATTAATTGTTGGCTGGATAAACACTGTAAGGATAATGCAGTACCATTCATTGACAACTGGAGAACTTCTATGGCCGAAAATGACATGTATGCCAGGGATGGGGTTCACTTATCCAGGGCAGTGTGGGTTTTCTTGCTAACTCAGTTGAGGGGGTTGTTGTAGACTTTAAACTAGGATTAGTTAGAGGTATGGGTTTAGAAATGATAAATAATGAGTATGGATATATTGACTTATGCTCTGATATTAAGAATCTTAATAGTAACTGTCATGGAGTAACTCTGGGTAATGATAATTTCAGAAATTGTGTAAAAACAAAGATGAATAGGAAAAATGTGCAGAAGAAAAAACATATGATGGTATTTTATGCTAACAGTCGAAGTGCAAGAAATAAAATTAATGAACTACGTTTGTAGCATGTGCTGGGAACTTTGATATCATTGCATTAACTGAAACGTGGTATGATTTAAAGAGTCGGGATATGACTGCTGAGTGTAATATTCAGGGATTTAAGTTGTTCAATGTGGATAGATGTAATGGGAAGGGGGAGGAGTTGCATTGTATGTTCGAGAAAATATTAATTGTTGCATAAAAACAGGTATAAAAATAGATGGAGCAGTAACAGAGTCTGTTTGGGTAGAGTTCGTAGAGAGTCAAGAAAAACTAATTCTAGGTGTAATATACCGACCTCCAGGCTTGGATCACGATAGAGGGAGACTTCTTTGGGACGAAATTGTTAGGGCTTCTGGACACAGTAACATAGTCATAGTAGGGGACTTTAACTTTAGTCAAATTGACTGGAATTCTTTGACAGGTAATCTAGAGTCCAGTGACTTTATGGAAACAGTTCAGGACTGTTTTCTGAAACAGAGCCTACCAGGGGTAATAATTTGCTAGACCTAGTCTTGTCAAATAAGGAAACACTCGTGAATAATCTGGAGATCACTGAAGAGCTTGGCGCAAGTGATCACAAATCCATCACTTTTAGCATTAATTGGGAATGCAAGAATAATGATAATACAGTAAAAATCCCTGATTTTCGTTCTGCCGATTATAATGGACTTAGGGAACATCTGTCTAAACTTGATTGGGGTTATCTAGCTAATGATTTTATTGACGATAATCATACTTATGAATATGAAGGGATCTGCTTTTATGATTGTTTTCTTAATAATGTACACAGTGCCCAGAGTATATACATTCCCCAGAGAGAAATTAGGTCTAATAATAACGATCCCAAATGGGTTAACAGGAGGCTAAAGCATCTATTAGGGGAGAAAAGGGAAATTTATAGGCGCTTCAGAAGAGGAGAGGTTAACCATACTGACCAATATGTTGAGCTTAAAAGAGAAGTAAAAAAGGCGATTAGAAAGGCTAAACGTGACTATGAAATTAGAGTTGCTAATGAATCAAAGACTAATCCAAAGGGGGTTCTTTCAAGTGTATAGGACGAAGGTGAAGGAAAAGTAGGACATCTGAAAATGGGAATGGACAGATGACGGATAATGAACTGGAAATGTGTTCCTTATTTAATGACTATTTTTTTGGTCAGTTTTTACATAGGAAGATGTAAATGAGATTCCAGTAATTAACAATTATTTAGTTCCTGATGAATTTAAGTTAACTAATATTACTGTCACGAGGGACATGGTTATTAAACAGATAGACAAACTGAAACAAAATAAGTCCCCGGGACCCGATGAGTTGTTTCCAAGGGTACTTAAGGAATGCAAGATGGAGCTTAGTCAGTCCATTAACGAGTGTATTCAATGCGTTCCATCCTTACCAGTGTTTTTGTGCCAGAGTTGTGGAAGATGGCTAATGGTGGTTTCCTATATTCAATCAGGGATAAGTCCACTCCTTCAAATTACCGTCCAATAAGCCTGACATCCTATAGTGGGCAAGTTTTTATTGGGTGGGGGGGTTACAATTATAAGCTGACATTATCCAAAAGTCACCTTTGAAGAGAATAACTTGATAAATGATCTCAGCATGGATTCACGAGAGGTCGTTCCTGCCTACAAACTTACTGACGTTCTTCATAGAACATTTGAGGCAGTTGACAGTGATAAGGAATATGAAATATTGTTTATTGGATTTTAGTAAAGCCTTCGACAGAGTACCTCACAAAGACTCTTAAGAAAAGTGCAGCTCATGGTATAGGAGGTAAAGTTCTAGCATGATTGAGGCAAGGCGTACCAATAGAAAGCAAGAGTTACCATTATATGGAGTGAAATCTGAATGGGGATTAGTCACAGTGGCGTTCCACAAGGATCAGTTTTTAGGCCCCTCCTGTTCATAATTACTTAATGACCTTGATGAATGGATACTAGAGACATATAAAGTTTGCTGATGATACAAAGATAGGCCGTATAATACACTCATGAGGAGGAATCAATGAACTCCAGGACGAATTTGAACAAATTAATGTCTGTCTGAAAAATGGCAGATAAGTTTAAATGTGGATAAGT